GGGGGGGGGGGAAGCCAACTATTTCAGGTTTCAAATAGACAGTTTAAAGTAGACGATAACACTGAAACCTTAAATAGGCTGGTTCCTGGATATCATAGGGTGCACCCTTTCCAGTAGACAGCCAATGTGGTGTAGTGGTTTGGACTATGACTCTGCAGACCAGGGTTCAAATTCCTGTTCAACCATAGAAAGCCACTGAGTGATCCTGAGCAAATCACACCCTTTGAGCCTCAGAGGATGGCAATGGCAAACCCCCTCTGGAGAAATGTGCCAAGGAAACTCTATGATCAGTCCACCTGGAAATGACTGGAAGGCACATAACAACAAACCTTTCCCAGTATGAGGCTCACCAAAATTTGAGATGAGCCAATGCTATTGTTTTATTTATTTATTTATTTATTTCTATTAAATGCCTATAAAAGATCTAAAAATGTATAGATTTTGGATGCCCAATTCATGTCCTCAACAACCAAGGGCTGTTTTGTATTACCTCCAGGACTTTGGAATACACTTCACAGGGTTATTCACATAGGACCTTTGCAGACTGCTAGAAATAATGCAAATTGTGTCCACTTTAAGGGTTAGGGTTAGGGAATCATGGGAACTGTATTTTATTGTGGCACCAGAGCTCTCTGACAGAGAAGGTTCAATGTCTCAGAAAAAAACCAATCCCCATGAACTATTTCTGGCAGTCTGCAAAGGCCCATAACCTCCAACTTTCCCACTTTGGCAGGGACAGCCCAACTCTGCTCTCCAACAGTCCCAGCTCCATCCTCAGCTTATTTCAGTCACTGCAAACTGAGTACAAAGTACAAAGGAGTTTGCATTCAGTTTACTCAGCAGGTAGGAGAGGAGGGGTGATGTCCTATCCGGCCCATGGCTTCAAGCAAAAGCAAACTTCTGCAGCCTCCAATAGCTTTGGAACAGAACACATTGTACTGTGTGACTCCAAAATGGTTCCTAAGAGAAATAAAAGGAATAAATACACATTAAAAAAACAGAGGAAGGAGACTGCCATGCCAGTTAAGCTGGACTTTCCTTGAGGAGATCAGCTTTTTAGTCTTTCCTAATGTTTAGGTAGAATCTTTTATCCTGTAGCTTGCCTCCATTGCTCCATTTCCTAGTCTCTGATGGAGGAGAAAGCATCCATCCTCAATGTAACATCCTTCCAAATAATCAAACATGGCTATCATGTTTAAATAACACATTAACCTGTTCATGCTTAGTTTTGCTGGTTTGCTTCGCTCCACTTCCTTTTGAAGAGATATCAGTTCCTTGAGATGAGAAGGTGTCAACGTACTGCTTTCACTGGTTTCCAGTTTCAGATGATGGAGTCAATGCTCCTCCAGGGAAGATTTAAAAGTGTTCCTCTTCCAGATAGGCTATGTATATGTGGTGCCCAAGTAATAGAGGACCTAGCACATTATCCACTCGAGTGCCATCTTTATTCAAACTGTAGGGAACATTATCTGGGCCCCTTTCTGTCCAGTATGAGCAACTGGCCTGAGTTGAAAACACTCTCATTCTTTTTGAGTGATTCTAGTCATTCTGTGTCTCAGAAGGTGGCCTTCTTTGCATTCAAGGCTGCCAATAAGGAAAAATGTGGTACAAAGAAGGGAGTCTGCTTAATTTGCATAGCTTTACTCTGGCCCTCTGTTATTTTAATATAAGCTGTCATTGTAATTGTTTTTAAGGTAAATTTGTAACAAGTTGAAATGGTCTATAGAATAATTAAATAAATCACTCACTCATTCATTCACTCCCCTTTGAGTTACTAATCGTCTCTGTGTTGTAGGGCTGCACAGTGCCACAGAAAAGAAACTGGAACTTGTAGAAATTGAACATTGGAAGAGATTTTACAGTCTACTCATTTTGAAAGAACAATGTTGCATTTGCATTATGAATATATTCATGCCCGTATTGACTTGGAAGTCCCAATGGAGTCAGCAGGACTTACTTCTAGGTAAATATGTACAGGCGTTGGAATGCATGCATTCCTTTATGACAATCATTTTTCTCCCCAACCATATCATTCTTAATTAATTACATTCCATATATCTCCTGGACCTAATTTTTTTACCCATTTCCCCACACCCACCCCATTTTTATCCTTATGGATAAAACTGTGATGGAAATAAGAATAAATGAATTCCCTCGCTTTAACCTTTTAACCTGTTTCTATTACCTTTGGAGATAAGAGGGTCACATAAAGCTAAATGGCCTGCTTCCTGTTATGTATTACACTTCTGCTTCCTGTTATGTATTATTTTAACACATATGGTTGGGGGGGGGAAACTTCTGATGAGAAACAAACAATTTCCTTTATTATCTGAAATGCTGATTACATACCTTGTTTGAAGAGACTACATCTCAGATGTAAGTGGCTAAGAGGTTCCTGCCAATTAGACATTGCATCCATTAAACCTTCTATCCTCCTATAATAATTGGTCAGAACAAAGAAAGCCAGTCCCTGGAAAATAGAGGAATATTGATATATGGCAGATAGAGCAGATGTGCTTTGATCTATGATGTTTTCCAAAAGGGTATGAAGGGTGGAATCTGAGAACCATTCAGAGCCTCACTGTGGACCTTTCCAAGTGGATCTATTCTGTTGCAGAATGAACTTTCTCCCTTTGTACTTTGCTTGTGTTGCCTGTGCTAATATAGACCCTCATTGCTGGGCAATGAACAAATCACTGTCACGTGACAGCAACCACCCTGTGAAGTAGGTTAGTCTGAGAAGGTACAATAGGCTCATGGTGTCTACATGGGTGTTATGTCATGGGGAGGCTGGGATTTGATCTTATCTATAGTGTGTATTGAGAGCTGTTAGCATGGCATAGTGGTTTGAGTGTTGGACTGCAACTCCAGAGACCAAGGTTCGATTCTCTGCTCAGACATTGAAACCCACTGGGCAAACTTGGGAAGTCATACTCTCTCAGCCTCAGAGGATGGCAATGGCAACCCCCCTCTGAAGAGACTTGCAAGAAAACCCCAAGAGACCCAAGACTTGCCTTAGGGTCACCATAAGTTGGAAACAACTTGAAGACACACAACAACAAAAATAATGTGTATTACAGAGAGTATGGACACAGAATTCATACAGTGGAGGAGTTGTTGGAGCAAAAACTAATGTGGCTCCGGCACATTTTCCTTCCTATGTACAATGGAAAGTAAGATATTGCTTTTATTTCATGTTATCCCTGCTCTGCAGAACTGTGGTTTAATCATCAGCTAACAAACCAATATCCTGATCCTGGTTTCATACCCTGGCTCACAGTAGAGATGAAACCACATTTTCTCACTTCAGAGATAAGATTTAGCAGTAGGAGCAGAAACCAGGCAAGAATGAAATAGGAAACCTCAGCCAAATCTTTTAGCAGGAAGGAAGACATGAAAGGGGGATTTAGGGGGCAGAGAATGTATTATCCTTGTTGAAATTATCCACTGCCTAGCAGTCAACTTGTTGTCTAACAACAAGCAACTCAAACTGCAATTTTGTGCATATATACCTAGAAGTAGGACTCAGTGGGACTTATTCCTCATTCAGCATTCACAGCATCACACTCTCAGAGATCCAAGGGGGTTAAATTCTTGAGGTAAAGAGTTGGAATTTGGCTGGGGCTTCTGTATTCATAGAAACTCCATACAAGAGGATTCTGTTATTGCAACATTGTGGCCTGAGAAGTCTAAGAAAGTGGTGGGATGCAATGAAACCAAGATGCAGCATAACAGAGGGTAAGGTCATTGCTGTTAGGCAGAGAGAGCCCGCTTGCTCAGGCTGCGGAATTTGACTGAGAGCCCCTTTGACTCTAGCAGAATGTAAATCTTCCCTGATAGTGACACTGGGGGTTCAGTCTTTGTGCTGGGGAGGGTAACAATGGCTATCTGGACATTGATCAAGGAAGCACCCCCAGCACCCTCCATGGTTAATCTGTATTGGGTTTAGGGTCAGAGCTATGCATCTGAATGAAAACGTTGTGGAAGAAGGTACCAGATACCCCTTTACATAATATCTAAAAAAGGATTTATACTGGCTGCACATGTGTAAGTTACCAAGGTGCTTTTGGTCCTGAGTTATCACAAAAGGGACTTTTAAAAAAAAAATCTTGTTATGGTTGTATTTTCATTACTGTGGAGTGAGGCAAGTACTTCTGTAATTTTCTGCCTTATGTGCTTTACCTAGTATGCACCTTGAGCCTTATTCACACATTGTGTTTTTTTTAACCCGAACGATGCAAATAACCTCACTCATGCATTCTGGGTTTGCTATTCACACCATGGAACCACATCTTCCCAGGAAACGCATCGCTCCACATCTCTGCAAGTTCAGTTGCTCACACGTGTGGGCACCCTTCCCTTGTCCCTGCACCCACTGGCACCCTTCAGCTGGACAGAGGGGGGGCATCTCTTTTTCTTCCCCCCTCTTTTCCTCTCTCTTTCCTTTTTTCTCCCCAGGGGCAGCACTTTCTCAACCTGGTGGGCTATCGATGATGCAAGTGCATTCGAATCCCATTAAAGGCATAGAGAGTTTTATCCTGAGTCTATTCGGGTCTATTTACATCATTGTTTGCACAGCTAACAATGTGAATCTCTTGTAAAAACTCAGGGAAAAGCCCAATATCAATTATCCCAGGGTTAGTGGGCTTTTGGGTAGCTTCCCACCAAACTTAATCGAGTGCATCTGGAATGCGTCTGAATAATAATGCTCATCCCAAATTCATCCTAGATCATTGCCATTGTGCAAATAAACCCCTGAACTGGAGTGAGGCAGGTACTTCTGCATTTTTCTGCCTTATGTGCTTTACCTAGTATGCACCTTGGGCCTTATTCACACGCTGTTGTTTTTTTACTGGAATGATGCAAATAACCTCCCTCGTGCATTCCGGGTTTGTTATTCACACCATGGGCTTTCCAGGAACCACATTGCTCCACATTTCTGCAAGTTGTGTGCTATTTGCTATTCTGCCTCCGACAGCAAAATGTCTTGGAGGGGGAATGTGAAGGCTGATTGAGGTGTTGATCTGAACCAACAAGCCACAACCGCCTTGTACACATGTACAGAAACATTCCAACTTCTCCAGTGTTAATATCTCTAGCATTCTTCTCTTCTCTTCCTTGCCACCAAATGCAGCTGCTTTGTCAATACTCATTAGGATACTACCATTGAAAGCTGCCTCAGCTGATCTGTTTAATCGCTCTCCTTGCCACATTTAGCCTCTATCTCTCTTGCAATCTGATAGTGTATTATCCTTGCTAATTATCCATTGTCTCGCAGACAGCTTGTTAGCTGGCAAGGGGTACTTCATTCCATAACTTTATTCTCCAGACCTGAATCTTTCAACATGCTTATCCCTTTTGGAAAGCTCTTTTTATATGAAACTCTGTTCTTATAGTAAACTTTCTTCTCCTTTGCCTGAAGATGCTCAGTCGCTTCTTTACATGAAATGGCTTGCTGGTGTTCTATTTAGACTTGGCCAGGGTGACCCGATGTCCTTACCGCCAAGGAGGACAAGGCACTGCAAAATGTGGGCCAATTGAGAAAAAAATGTAGGACATTTCCAAAGAAAAGCTACAAACACGAATGTAAATATAAGCGGCTGCTTCTTTTAGTCATGCCCCAAATGGAGGGTATTTCTGGAATTCCTCCTGGACAAAAGGCTAAAATGTAGGATGCATTCTGGAAAAGGAGGATGTCTCACTTGGGGCGAGATTTCTAATGGTAGTATTTCTTTTTAGTTTCTCTCTGTGTCGAAAAAGGACATCTATTCCAAAACGATCTCTCTACCCCAGAGGCACTGTAAAACAAGGGCTGGAAAGAGACTAAACTCTCTCATCCAGACTGACAGAAAATAAACCCAGGTTCCTAATCAGCTGAGAAAACTTTATCCCTCATTTTCCCTTCTTGCTTATCCTGCTCAGTGCCACTTGCAACCCAGCCTATAAGCTTCTCTTGCGTGCATCAAGTTAATAGAATTAACACCTAACTCACACTCTTAGCATTTAATGTGTTGGTCTGCTCTTTGTAATTCCATGCCAGATCAAACACGGCACACTGGCCTATGTATAAACATTGTGGCATTACATGGGATTTCAAACCTTTCTCCCCCTTTAATGTGGGGTTTATGTTCTAACATGCTGAAGAGCCTGGATTGAGCAACCTCAAAATGCAGCTCAAGTTTCATGTTTGCCACTCACAAAGAGGCAAACCACATAACCTCAGTCATTTTTGCAAAGGGAGTAGTCAATGAAGAATCCAATATTTTATAAGCCAATGAACTCCATATAGTCCCATGCTTCTCCAGCCTAGCTTTCCAGAGTAATCTATGTAGGTCTATCTCTCTGACTTGCCTAGTCTTTTAAGACTTGAAGGCACACAACAACAACAACAACAACAATGGAGTGGACCTACAAAGCCTTCCAACTAAATAGCTATTTTGGGGGGAAGGGGGGACTGGTAATCTTAACTGAAACCAAACATCTCTTTGGGTGGAGGTGGGTTTCATGAGTGAGTACACTGTGCATGTTGTGACTATGCACAACGCTTTTGAGCTCTTAGCAGATTATCACTTGCAGTCTGTGAGAGGTAGACCTCTGTTATCTACCAGGCAAGTGATCCTGGATTAGGCATGCAAATCTTTACTTATTTCATTCTCACGGGTGGAAATAAAAGCACTACAAAAGTCTTCTCGCCACTGGGTGAGACTGCAAGCATTTTTGCAAAATTTCTGAGGATTTTTCACATTCCAGGACATTTTTTGCACAAATTTCATTAGTACAACATTTCATATATACAGTCAGCCCTCCATATCCATACATTTTTTAAATCTATGGATTCAAGCATCCATGGCTTGAATTTTTTTTTAAAAATGTATAAATCCCAAAAAGCAAATCTTGATTTTGCTATTTTATATGAGGGACACCATTTTACTATGCCATTGTATTTAATGAGATTCGAGCATCCACAGATTTTGTTATCCATGTGTGTGTGTGTGTGTGTGGGGGGCGTTTCCTGGAACTAAACCTCAGCAGATACCATGGGCCCATTGTATAGGTGTGCATTTGCACACATATAAGATATTTCCTCCCCATACAAAAACTTTGTGCAGAATGCATCAAAACTGGTTTTGTGAGCTCTTCCCTGTCAGAGCGGTCTGGTGGCACAACAAACTATAAATGGGAGGACTCTATAGGTTGGTGCTTTGGCAGTTAAAGTGGTCTCAAACTGCATTAATTCTCCAGTGTGGCCGCAGTCTATAGACTGTAGAAAATGAAGTCCCTCTAGTCTTGTGGGGGAAAAGAGCTTGCTTTTGTTATCCAGAGTTTCCCAATATTGCAATTTTGTGGTCTATGGTCTGTGAAGAGAGTGGTTTCCTTTCCTTTCCTTTCCTTTCCTTTCCTTTCCTTTCCTTTCCTTTCCTTTCCTTTCCTTTCCTTTTTCTTACAAAGCTATAAGCATACCAGTGCAAAGACATGGCAGTCATTACAGGGTTTCCATAAAAATGTTAGCGCTATTGTACTTTCCCCAAGCTTCTTTACAGATAAGCTGGATGCTGCCATACAGAATGAAGGTGAGACAAAGCCAAACAGAGGATAGATAGTTGCATAGAAAGATAGACACTTCCTCAATGAGGAAGGGTTTACTGTGTGTTTTAGATTTCTTGTAAGTAATTTGAAATAATAAATGAAGTTTTTTAGGAATTGCTAATTCCACATTTCCTTGTCTTTGGTGTATGGCATGATCTTTTGAACCCTATATTCAATCTGTTACATCAACCTGTAACTTAAATACAAGTTATATATTTGTATTTATCTGGATACATTCCATTCCCAACTGCAAGTATTCCATAGCAGGAAAACAAAACAGAAACTATAAGGTAAATAAGGGTGTAGGAATGAA